GATAGATGGATGGATGGATGGATGGATGGATGGATGGATGGATGGATGGACGGACGGACGGACGGACGGACGGATCTGCCTGCCTCACCCTCCCAAATGGATGGGTGGTTTCTCCAAATGCTGGGGTTACCATCTCTGGTGGAGGATTGGGAACAGGAGGGAGGAATCCATGGTGAGAAATGTGGAATTCAGAAGACTTCTCAGAGCCAGCAATAGGTGGGTGTGGGGGAAGGTGCTGGAGACAGCTAGCCAGCTGCAAGCAGGCTGCAGAGAAGCGGGCCTGAGACAGGGGTGGGAGAAGCTGAGGAGGCTGCCCGCAGCCGTGTTTGCCACGGACGACATCAGTCTGAAACTGGCCATGGTGGTGTGCTTGTGAGGAGGAGGCAGGGGGATTTTCTTTTTCCATTTTCGTGTGTGTGTGTGTGTGTGTGTGTGTGTGTGTATGTATGTACATGTTTGCATGTGTGTGGTCACACATATGTGTGAGGGAGAGCATGCACATGTGTAGAGGTACCTAAGGCTGAAATCAGTTCTCCCTTATTCATTGAGACAGGCTCTCTCAATCAAACTCGGAGCTGACTGATACAGGTAGTCTTGTGAGCCAGCTGGCTCTGGGTCTCCACTTTCCAAGGCTGGACTGACAGGCAGGTTATAATACCTACCCAGCATTTCTGTGTTTGGAGATCCGAACTCACGTTCTCAAGCTTGTATACAGGCACTTTAACCTCTGAGACACCTCATATCCCCAGCCCCCGGCAGCAAAATCTTGAGTTCGGGGCCCTGTCTGAAACATATATAAACTAGAAATGATATAATTCCTATCCCCCTAAAACTGTAGTGGGGTGAAACAGGTAAATCGGGGCAAGTGTAACCCCGTGCGTGACACTAAGAGTGCTTGATAAGCGGCAGCTATGGCAACCATTCATAGATGGTTTTAGTAGAGACAAACCAACCAAGAGGTCCCCAAATGTCTCCTCTACATACCTCCACATAATGGCACACACAGAATGTGTGTTTAGGGACAGTGGAGGATTATGAAGCAGAATCTGAAGTAGGTGGGGCTCAGAGTGTCACACAGGAACAAACAAAGGGTACCCCATTCCTGCAGAGCCTCCCGGAGCTGGGAATAGGCTGAAAGCAAAGGGCCAGAGCTGAGAAGGGTTGGTTAAGCCCATAGGGAGGAGACTCTGGAAGACTCCGAGTGCCGTCCTTATGCAAAGGAGAGTTGTCCTTTGAGCCTTGTGAGAGTCCTCTGTAGAAAACAAAATCAAAGGGTGGGGCAGCTCACGAGGAATGAGGATGAGTCAAGACAGAACTCTGCAGTGGCTGGGCCTCCAGGGCTGGAGTGACCACTCTGAATCTTGGTTCTGTCATGAAACAGTTATGCAGGCACAAGCCAGCTACTGCACCCAGCTGTAGCAAGCGCTGTGGCTGTCATCATGGTCCCTGATCTTAGGGCCCTTGAGGTCTAGCAAAAGAGACACGCAGAAAAGCTTTGATGTGTCCATAGATGGTTAATGACACATCTGGTCAAAAATAACGATGTCACTGTTCCTCAGGGAGGTCTCCGTGGGCGGAGCCAAGTTACCTTGAGGGGGGAACGAATTCTATGGGCCGAGTCAAGCTACCTTTGCAGAGATTGAGAAGAAGCTGAGAAAAAGAAACACCTGATCTGGGGTCCTGGGGCAGCATCAGGGTTGGAAGTCTGCGATGGGGATGGAGAGGCTTGGAAGCCTAGCTATCTTCTCTCCCGGTAGACAAAGTCAGGGGACAAGGGGCCCAGAAATGAATCAGGAGGATCACAGGGCTCACAGGTGTCTCTCTGTCCTCTATGACAGCCCTGCCAGCTGCCCTAGCATCCCTGGGTCCCCAGGGTCAGGCCATTACAGGTGAGATTTATCACAGCAGGTGTGCGGCATGACGGTATATTACCCAGGATTATGGACTGTAACAGAATAATCTCCCTAATGTAATTCAAGCTCTCGACATGGCTTATGGCTCCTTAATGTACCTCAGACCGAAGAATTACAGGAACATTCTCCCTCCAGCTCCCCATGTCCCCTCCCTCCCTTCCCTGTCAACCCCTAAATGATTTAGGCAATTGCCCGCGGCCAGACCGCCACATCCAGTCATAAGTCAGTGCAGCTCAGTAAACATGACAGGCCAGGAGCTTTTCCCAGCCTATCACTCATCCATAGACACCTCTCTTTCCTCAAGGAGGAGGACAACCTGTGACCGCTGGGATGCTGAGAGGGGTCATCCTGAGAAGGCCCCTAGACACCAAGGTTTGAGCAAGTCCCCATCCAATGTGATGTTGCTCTGGGCTTCGTCACCCTCTAGACTCAGAAAACCACCCCAGAGCCACAGATCGTTACGGCCAGGGAGGTTGCAGGGTGCTAAGATCTGAGTACACGTCTGTGAACTGACCTTGTGAGCTCAAACAACTCAGACCAAAAAAAGAGGTTCTTCTCTACTAACAGACATGTTTGTCTTTATTGAGCATTTACTAAGCACCGGCACTATCCCAAGTACTTCAAGTGAGCTGTCACTCAACACTTCCAGCAGTGTTCGAGTGGGGACTGTCGTTCTCTACTAAGAAACTAAGGCTCAGAGAGGTGACACCAAGGTCATAGGCCTATGGAGGAGGAAGTTGCCACGTGAGTCCAGGCAGCCTGGTCCCAGAGTCTGCAGGATAGCCCTCTGCTCTGTTCAGTGCTGTGCTTCACGGTGCCTGGGAAACCCAACCTCAGATCCCAGGTTTCATTCTTCTGCCTTGTCTTCCCATTCATGTGTCAGAATGACAGCAGTGAGTCTCAAGCTCAGAGAGTCTCTGAGTATGACTCTGGCGTGCTCAGAGAGCTGGGTTTTCACCAATCAGCAGCCAAAAAAAAAAAATTTGGAAGCTCCTTGGCTCAGGCCTATAGTGACTTCCCCGGCGCAGCCTGACTTGGCTTCCTCTTCTGCTGCCGTGCTCTCTGAGCCCACACCTCTCCTCTCCTCTTTCCTGAACACAGACCCGGGGCTCCTCCTGACCTCAGGACCTGAGGAAAGCATAGGGAGTGTCTCCCCACATTAGGAAGCAGCCACAGATGGGCAAGAGCTCCTCCTGAAATCAGCCCAAACCCAACAAAGCAATTTTCTAGGCAAGAGCTTCAACTAGTAAGTGCCTTCTGCATACACTACACCAATCTTTCCCTAAAGATTTTTTGTCAATCCTGAGCACAACCATTGTGACTTGGTGGCTTAAACCTTGGGGATTTGCTGTCTCTAAAATGGGCCAATAGTAAGAAGGACTAAATTCATAGATCTCGTTCAAAAAAAAAAAAACTAAAATTTCAGATAAAGTACTACATACTAACAAGTATAACACATACACCAACCCATAGCCATGGGCAAGCTGCTAAAATTAGCTGTGCTGTGGCAGTAAGCATGGTTCCAGATGTCAGGGTTCTTGTAGTATAGCTAAGAAGACGTGTGCATGTGCAAACACGCACACACATACACACACACACTCCCCTTGGGTTTCAGTGACCACTTTGAATCTCTAATAAGGACACTTACATATTCATTGTCTCTGTTGTGCCCACAGGCAGTAGGAAGAGAAAATCCAGGCAAAGCAGGGTATAGCTCAGTTATTGGAATGCTTGCCTGGTATACATGGAGCCCTGGATTCCATTCCAAGAACTACAAAATACTCATGTGTTGCTTCACAGGTTCAATCCCAAAACTTGGATCAGAAGTTCTTGGCTTTATAGTGGGTTTGGGGCCAGCCTGAGCTACATGAGACTGTCTCAAAAAGGAAAAGAGGGAGGGAGAAGAAGAGGAAAAGGAGGGGGAGAAGATAATCCAGGGGCATTGTCTGACCCCAGCAGTGAAGTAGATAGGGAGGGTGAGTGGATTAGATCAAAGGTTTAGCAGTCACCTGTTTCTGACTTTTAGGAAGTACTGCCCTGGGACAGAGGCTGCAGTAGCCTCTCCTTAGAGACACCCCTGGGATGGGTATGCCTCCAGGTCTATGACAGAGGCCCAATGCCCTTCCAGCATGACACTCTGTGTGAGGGCCGGCTTCCTTCCCAAGTTTGCTCTCCTTTTGGTTTCCTGCAGCTCAGCACTGCTAACTTAGGTAAAGAGTACTGTTGTTCCACGAGGTACCACGAGGGGGCGCCTTCGTTTGACTGTGTGAGGTAAGGAAAGATGTTGGCTCAAAGAAGGCTAGAAGTCAGCCGAAGGCCCCACCAAGAGTCATACAATTGGGAGACATAAGGGACTCTCAGCCACAGTGACTGTATTCTAAAGACCTGGCTTTAGGTGTTCCTTTTTGTCCTTAGTGCATGGTAAGGTAATCTCATTTGACAGTCTGATTCATTAGCCCTGTGGGGCAGGTGTCTTTTACAGTTGGGAGAAACAAGGTTTCCAGAGATCCAAGACTTACATAGGGTAACACAGCCAACCCCCAGCAGAGCTGCTGTCAGCCTGATAGCCCTAGTCTCCTATAGGTCCTGGCCTCTTCCAGGGGTTTATACCATGCTGAGCACACAGCAGAGGCAACAGATGGATGGATGGATGGATGGATGGATGGATGGATGGATGGATGGATGATGGATGGGTGGGTGGATGGATGGGTGGGTGGGTGGATGGATGGGTGGATGGATGGATGGATGGGTGGGTGGATGGATGGATGAGTGGATGGATGGATGGGTTGGTGGATGGATGGATGAGTGAATGGATGGATGGGTGGGTGGATGGGTGGATGAATGGATGGGTGGATGGATGGATGGATGGATGGACGGATGGATGGATGGATGGTGAATGTAGGATGGATGGATGGATGATGGATGGATGGATGGATGGATGGATGGATGGATGGGTGGGTGGGTGGGTGGATGGATGGATGGGTGGGTGGATGGGTGGATGGATGGATGGGTGAATGAATGGATGGATGACGAATGGATGCATGAATAGATGATAATGATGGATAGGTGGATAGATGATAGATAGATGGGTAAATGGATGGATAGGTGGATGGGTGGATGACAGATGGAGGGATTGATGGATGGCAGGCCCTGTGGACTAAGTTACAACCTTCCTGGGAGAAGTCTCTATTGTTCCACAGGGCAAAGAGCTGAGCAAGACCTTAGCTTTGCTCTGCCACTTCCCAAGTCACAACCTTCTGCAACTATGAGACTCTCCGAGCAGAAGGCAACTGACATGGAGGCCAATTCATTTATGTACGTGAGGAAAGTACGCTTCAGCCGGGACAAGTGGCCAGCTCACCCCAACAACAGGCACTTCCTTAGAACCCCTTGTATGAATCCTGTGAGGTTGAGAGTGAGATTTATTTCAAAGCCTCTTATGTTGGGCTGGGGGTGTGGTTCAGATGGCAGAGGGCTGGCCCAGCATGCACTAAAGCCTGGATTCAATCACCAGCACCCAGAAACTAAACATCGTGGTGCACACTTGAGATCCCAGTTACTAGGAAGATAGAGACAGGAGGAGGATCAGAGGCTTAAGGTCAACCTCAGTTACATAGAGTTAGAGGCAGCATTGGACACATAAGACCCCACCTTAAGGAGAAAAAAACGGCAATCAAAGCTGTTGTCTTCATGGCACCTGCATTAGAAGGAAGAAGCCAAGAATTCAATGTGTATATATGCAGCATGCTGTGTAACCATAATTGCTACTGGAGAAAGGAGAACAGAGCAAGGGACATGGACCTCCTGCTGTGGACGCTGAGGGGCAGGAGTATCTGCTGGAGAATCTCAAACAGAAGACAAACATTTTCTGACTTCAACTTCAGAACTGCTCACTGCTCTATGGAGGCTGATTAGGTGAGCAAGAAGGCACAAACAAGGACAGGTTGAGGGATTGCAGTACTCCATCAAGAAAACCTTGTGGCTGGGACTGGAGCCGATCATACTCGCCTAGCATTCATAATGCTCTGCATCCCCAGCGCTGTGGTGATGCACGCCTGCAATCCCAGCACTTAGGAGGGAGAGGCAGGAGGGTCAGAAGCTTGAAGTCATCCTCAGTTGTTTATCCAGTTGGAGATCAGCCTGGGAGACAAGAGACCAAAGGTGGTCAGGAGAGGAGGGAAGGGAGGGGAAATAGGAGAGGGGGGAGGTGGGGAAAGGAGGGGAGAAGGGCTGGAGAGCTCGCTCAGCAGCTAAGATTGCTAAGCAGCAAGAGCAGTATGTGCTAAAGCCCCCAGCACCCAGGGGGGATGGTTCACACTTACCTATAACCAGGTTCAGGTTATCCAATGCCGTCGTCTTCCGGTCTCTGGAGGGCAATTTCTCACAAGTACACACACACACACACACACACACACACAGAAAGCACATACTCATAATTTTTTAAAATTTTTTTTAAAAAGAAAGAGCGGAAGAGATTAAGAGCACTCACTGTCCATGCAGAGGACCCAGGCTTGGTTTGCAGCATCTATATGGTGGCTCACAACCATCTGTAATTTCAGCTCCCAAAGTCTGACACCTGCTTTGGTATACCCACCTCCTTCATATCGTGGTGCTCATAAATTTATAGGAGAACACATACAGCATTGTTTAAGACAGGGAGGAGAAAGGGAGGAAGAACAGAAGAAAGGAAATACAGTGGCTTGGGACAATGACTTACATGGGAACAGTAGACTCTGGACTTACTCCGAAGGCAAAACAGTGTGTTGCTAAGGCACTGCGTGGTAGCAAAAGGAGGAAGAGTTGATAAAGACCCCAAGACTGTCTTCTGGAGACACAGGGAAGGAGCGTTTGCCCTTTGCTGAGGTAAAGAGAACTCACAAATTATCCTGTAAGGAGGGAAGTTGAGTATGACGATAAGGGTTTTGAAGTTGAGCGAATGAAGTCTGAGATGCCTACTGAATGTTCAGGTAGTAACAGGAAACTGGATTATTGGGTCTTCAGGTCGGAGAGGAGGGGCGATAAACGGCAGACCTAAAAGAACAAAGTCAAAAACTCGGGTCTCCAGGCTCCCAAGGGAACTCTTTTCGCAGTAAAGAGAAAGCATGCTCTCACACACAATGGACAAGTTAAGAAACCTCGAAACGCTCGAAAGTTAGGGCGCAAAAGAGGAAATACGGTAACTCCGCGCTCGGTCTGTGCGGGAGCTGCTAGGCCTGCGCCTGCAGCGGGCGGGCTATTTGCGGGAACTTGGATGAAGTGGAGCAGCCCAGTGCTCCGTGTGCGTTCCTTGCGGGCGAAACTGTGGCTGCTAGAGATGAGGGCGGATCTCCCCTGAGCTCTGCGTTTCTTCTCTGTCCCCTCATTTCCTTAGAGTCATTTACCTCCTGGAGCTGGCTAGGAAGGACAAGGAAGAATCTTCTTCCTGCTCGTGATCGGCCGCAGTTGCTGAAGCCTCTCATGCAGTCCTAGGCTGGGTCTCCCAGATCTGCTGGGTGACAACCAGTCCCTTGGATTCCAAGTGGCTGTGTGAGAACTTAGGAGCCGTACAAGTTTACCCTCCTCGATTTCAGAAGAAATCAAGCAGAGGGGTAACCTGCCCAAGGCCCCACAGTGAACCCGGGAGCCGTTCCAAACTCCCAGTGTCTGGGGTTCCCAACTTCTTGGCTAGTCAAGGAGCACTGGAGACACCCCATGGTGACAGGGGAGTTGGCGGACTTTACCAGCCCTGTGTTTGAGCTCTATCTCTCCGAGGTGTCTGTTTCCTTTTTTGTTTAAAAAAAAAAAAAAAAGGAATCGCTCTTGCCCTGCCTTCCAGTCTTACAAATGCACATTAAAGAAAAAGCAACTGCTGTTCTTGACTAACGCGGCACTGTCCTGGGCTCCTGGCACAGGCCTCCCGGCTTTGAAAAGCACGCCATCTCTTTAGCCATTGAGGGGATTAGAGGCCAGGGTGGATCTGTCAGACCCGAAAGAAGTCCCAGCACAAAGCCACGGTGTCTGCCCTGCCCCAGGGACTCAGGGGTCAGTGACAGGGGCCTTGGAGGAGGAGCAGGGAGAGCGGAAGTCCCCGCTCGGTGGCCCCACTCCCCCCTCCCCCGGCCGGCCCCGGGGCAGGTGAAGAGAGACCGGGCTCTGCTCCAGGTGGCGGGGTAGAGGCGGGGGTGGGGGAAGGCCCGGCAACAATAGCACTTTTATTTGGGACTGTTGGGTTCTGAGCGGGTGGGCGGAGGAGGAGGACGCCGACCGGGCCGCGGGGGAGGGGACGGGCCGCGGCAACTGGCTACACACCTGCTCCTGCTTAACCCTGTGCGCGCTGGGCGCTCGGTTGGCAGGGGCTGGCTAACCCGCTGCGGAGACCAAGACTCCGGCTGGGAGACACCTCCCTTGGGCCCTTGGTCAGGCTTGGAGATCTATCTCCAAGAACAGAAGCAAAAGGGATCCCTATAAAGACAGAGCTTTCGATGCGTCTGGCTGTACCCTTAGCCCTGCGTTGAAACCCCGGTGGGACGCAGCAGGCTGGAGAACAAATCCGAGTGACTTTAGAGGGAGGCGAGGATTTCCAACGGCCGTTCCGGGAAGTCAGTCTTCGGGAGGCGTTGGGGCGCGCAGGGCCATGACAGGCGGGGCAACTCTGCACAGGGGACAGCCCATCGCCCAGCATGCTTCCCAGCTCGGCACTGCAGGTGAGCCGAGCGCCGGGCAACCCCGAAATGAGCTTCGCGGGCGCCCCCTGCCGGCAGGGAGGCTCGAGCCCCGTACTGCACCTGCCCGCACCCGGGACGCGCCCCACCTCCCAAGCCCACTGTGTCCCCCAGGCTGGCCCGAGGCCTGGCATGCTGACTTGCTGCACAATCCGAGCCTGTTTGTAGGCGGAGGACCTGAGCCGGGTGCGGCGGCCCTGAGCCAACCCACTGATCCCATAAAATATTATTTGTGTTTAAAAATTCCAGTAATTGGCTATGCAGCCGCTTTTTCCGAGCCCCGTGCCAAGCGCAGTAAAAATTCGCACTCCGGCCGGAGTTATTTTCATCATGCAAATTCTCATTTTCTGTAAACAGGGTTAAAACATTTGGACGGCCCATCCCTCACACACACCGCCGCCACCACCCTCCACGGGGGCAACCAGAGAAGAAAAGTTTAGAAGGACGTTGGTCTAACTGGTATCCATCCTGGGATTACCTTGGTAATCGGAAAGCATACCTCACATAATTCCCCCAATCATATCCCTTGAAGACAGGCGCCTGAATGCCTGGGTAAAAACTCCCGTTTCCTCAACTTCCTCCCCCTTTCTCTAGCCGAACAACATACATCATTAAATTGTAGAATTGTAATTATTTTCTGTTAATTTTTTAACTTTTTAGTAAGGGAGGGGCGGTTGTCAGAGGACCTTTGGCAGGAGCCAAATTTTGCTTCCCCACTATCCATGGGTCCCTGGAATGGAACTTAGGACATCAGCCTTGGCAGCAAGGGTTTTTACTCAGAGCCATCTCACCAGCCCCTTTCTCCTCTTTTATCACAGGAGCAAACCGAGGAGACAACAGCCCTTTCAAAGCCATATAAAGTCACCTAGTAAATGTACGCCGGAGCTCAGGCCCGCTCAGGTTGCCCAAGTGCCCAGCCATCAGGATCCCCGCAGGAGCGGGACTGAAGCAGGTGTCCAATGCTTCTGGGACAGAGCCCTACGCCTTCCGTGGGCAGAGGCTAAATGACTCTAGGCATAATAACTTTGGGGGGCGGAGACAGTAACTCTCAAAGTGCCCACTTCCTGTCCTTGCCTGGAGGGAGGCGGGGGAAGTCCCAAGCAGGGCCTTGGAAACCCTGAGTAATGGACAGGAGCCTTGGAACCGCCCAGAGTTGGTAGCTGTCAGCCGGCTACTGAGAGGGGAAGCCACTCACGTGGGAGGGAAGGATTGTTTTTAAGCAGAGGCAGATGGGAAGTAAAATTCTGAAGTTGGTAAGGGAGGTGGAACAAGAAAGACAGACAGACAGACAGACAGAACATAGCACTATGTTGTCGGTAATATGTATTATTTGCAATATCTGAGGGCCTTCTGTGTGCCAGACACTACTTTTCGTTTGCATCCTTGCATCAACACAAGCCGGAGAGATGGGATCTCAGTTGCTTGCTACTTTGCCGATGAAGATGCTGAGGCTCAGTGGCCCATGGTCCCGGTAAGAAATCCCAAACATTGGCAGCCACCTTCCCATATTTACTCTCTTCCCCAGTCTTTGTGGGCTTCCTTCTTTTGCCCTGGATGTGCCTCAGCCTTCGAAGCCATTAAACCTAGACCTTCCTTCTCGGAGGATTCCCTCGGTAGGCAGCTAGCTGTTGTGCAGAACTTGGTCTCCTAACTTTAGGCAGTGAAAGTAAGAAAAGGAGATAGCAAAGGACCACACAGAAATACGTGGTAGTCCCTCTAATGCATAGCCCAAAGCTCCACAGTAGGAGGACTGTAAAGGGGGCTCCAGGTCACTGGTCGAGCGTTTCAGCACCAGTGGAGGGCCCTTTGTGCAGAGGTCTTGCCAGTTCTTCTCTTCCTGGCTCAGAAATCAACTCCAAGCCTACATTTCCAGCTACACCACTATAGAAATGTATGTCCTCCATGACTCTTGTTCCAGTACTCAGGAGGCTGAGGCAGGAAGATACTGAGTTTGAGAACAGCCTGGGCTAACCTCATCAAAAACAAAAAACAAGCAAACAAACCACACCCACACCAGATTCTTGTCCAGTTGGGTATAGTGAGCGTGGAAGTTTATCATCAATCTCTAGGCCACTCTTAATGCCAAGTACAATGGTACCTACCTGAAGACAGAAGCAAACAGACCGTAAATACCAGACTAACCTGGACTACATAAGGAGATTCAGCCTCAAAAACGGCCAGACAAGGTGGCACCTGCCTTTAATTCCAGCACTAGGGAGGCAGAGGCAAGCAAATCTCTGAGCTTGAGACCATCCTAGACTTGTAGGACAGCCAGGGTTACATCATGAGACACAATCTCAAAAAACAAAGAACAAAACCAACCAAATAAAAATGAAAAGTGAGGAATATGCTAGCATTCTTACAGTCCCCCAAATTTGGGAGGCCAAGGCTGGAGGGTTGTTGTAAGTTTGAGGTAGTTTGGACTACAAAGTGAGTTGGAGGCCAGACTGGAAGAATACATACATAAGTACATACATGCATACTACATACATACAAGCCAATATAGAACTTGTTGGGATCCAGATGGATCCAGGAAGTGTAGAAGCTCCGAGTCCATCTCTGACTAGAAATAGAGTCAAGGACAGGCCTCTGGGGGTGAAGAAGAACCCATCAGTCACGCCAGGTAGGAAGACAGCTCCTAACGGTGAACCCTCTACAAAGGGGTGGAGACTCTTCCTAAGGGAAAAAGAACATGACATGAGAAGAGAAAAGCAAGCCTGTTGGATGCTAGCATGGGAAAGTGGACAAAGAAAGCCCATGGCACCTAGTTACTAATGACCTTATTGGGTTCCTTCCTCACTGCTCCAGTTGGACGCTTCTTTCCCAGAAATGCACAGAGAGTCTCTGCTACGACCTGGGTGTAGGGTTTGGATGTGAGAAGAATTTCATTCCTACCTATCTTCCTGCTAGTCCGGGGTAACCCATTCCCACCTGGCTCCAGAAGAGAGGGGTCCCCGACTGAGCTGTGGGCTCTGTCTGTGATGCCATTCATCACCCAGAGGATCTTGGGAAATGGAGGAAGAATGAAAACCCCCAGAGAGGCTAACAGTCCAGGTTTGGTGAAGACCTGTGGCTCCTTTGCGCTGTGACTCACAAGGATGATGTCACAATGGGTTTGGAGGGTGACTCTTCCTTTTAAGCTAAGATAAAGCAGCTCTCCCTCACATTCCCTACCCTTCTACTCCAGAGTGGATAGGATGGCGTGGCATGGGCCAGTCCCATGGCCTGTTGTCCCCTGGGCAAGTGATTTCGGAGGTTCATCTCAAGGACAGACATGAGCAGAAATGATCTCAAATACAAATCTCTACAGAAATATCAGAAATTTATATAATCAAGGAAGAAAGCACAATGGCTCAATAAGGCTCTCAGTGAATGCCCCTGATATGCCAGGTACAAACATAGGTGGTAGTGGCTGTCAGGGAGGAATGGAAGGTTGAGGGAACCTACCCAAGGGGATAAATGGTCTGCATTTTGGGCTGGCCTTGCCTAACTGGTAAGATTTTTGTCAGGCAGTGGGACTGAAAGCCAGGTATGGTATCACATACCTGTGATCCCAACACTTGGAAGGCTACATCAGTCAGGGGAATCATGAGTTTGAGGCCAGCTTGGGCTACATAGTGAGACACTGTCTCAAAAAAAGGAAAGAAAGAGAGAGAGAGAGGGAGGGAGGGAGGGAGGAACGAACGAACGAAGGAATGAAGGAACGAAGGAAGGAAGGTAGCTTAAGGGAAGCAGGGAAGCTGTTAATTGTCAACACATTCTAAGCGGAAAGATCAGACTCCAAATTGCCTGGCATAGGTAGGCCTAAACAGAAAATCTGGGGTGAGGGTTAGCTAGGGAAGGTGGGGGGAATATAGAGAAGGGGATGCAATTCTTCCCCAACCCTGAATCTGTCAATCCTGGATTCCCTTCTTCATGTGAGGTTCCTACCACCCCTATTTTTTAAGAGGGAAGATGGGTGAATTCCATCTTCGATACTGTGCCCAAGATCCCACCAATGGAGGATATTTGGGACAAAGAAAAGGAAGAGGAGGAGGAGGAGGAGGAGGAAGAGGAAGAAGAGGAGGAGGAGGAGGAGGAGGAAGAGGAGGAAGAGGAAGAGGAGCAGAAGGAGGAGATTGTAGACAAAGAACGAGAGAAAGAAGAAAATAGGTGCGTATGACATAGCACTGCTGCGTCCTCTGTCCCTCCAGCACGGGCTTCCCCCCCCCCCCCCCCCCGCCACCTTCCCCACCCTCCCACCCCCATCCAGCTCCCTGGAGATCCTCAGGCTATGACCATCTTGACCTCTAACCTCTACCTCTCCTCTGTCTCCTCTTCACCCTGACACCATTCTTCCTATTCTTCAGGGTCAAGACCCTTCTTGGAGTACCCAGGCAGGACTCAGTGTGGGGCCTGATGGCTTGGCCCAGGCCCTCCCCAGAGCAAGGCCGGTGGTGGGAAGAATTTTCCCTGCCCCCACTCCGTGGATCCTGCCTCTGTCAGTGCAGACTGAGGACAAAGACGAAGCTCCACCCCCTGCCCTCCCTGGCCTCCTGCTCCACCTCCAAAATGTTGCCCTCATTGGAAACCAAGGAAGAGCCTTGCTGGCTAAGAAGTCAGTCTCTGATGGAGCCTCCACCAGCTTCCAGACTGAAGCTGTGCCCAAGACACATCCCCAAGACAGTGCCCAGGCTTCCTCCCAGGGTCTCCCCCAAGAGATCTACTGTCATCAAACCCGGGCGACAGCAGACCTCAATGTCATTGTGGCCTCCAATTATTATCAACCCCCCCTTCAAGAGTTCTGCTCTTAAGGGACAACACACATCCTCTGCCAAGGAGGCCTCCCATACCCCAGGTGCCTGGGGCAATCCCTTGCCTCACCTTCCTTCAAAATAAATATTTTTGTTACCCTACCAACAGTCTAATACATTCTGGGCACTTTCAGATGCTTTAGCTCACGTAATCCTCACAATATTTATAAAAATCAAAACATAGGTGAGGTTCCCCCCCACACACACTCCCAACTGGGTCTCCTGTTGCCCAGGCTGATCTCAGCCTTGCTGCATAGGCTGAGGAAGACATTGACCTCGTCATCCTCCTGCCGCACTTTGTAATGCTGGGATTACAGGCATGTCACCATGGCCACTTTATGGTCTGAGCCACAGCCTTGGCCTTTATTTACCTCGTTCCTGCATGGGAGATTTTACCCTCATTTATTTATCCAATTATTTATGTCAGCATGGACTCAGGGATATCTATGTTACACTTTGAGTGATTAATGCAGGTGTATTTATTTGACGGCTCAAGATGTTCCTATTGGGTCATGGCTTCTGCTGCCGCGTCCCGCGTCCCTTTGGCACACTCCTGCCAACATGAGCTTTGACAAAGAAAAAGTTCTCTTGCCTTGCTTTCCTTAACCACTTTCATCTCAGCCCTTGGGAGTTAGAGGCACGAGAATTGCCACAGGTTTCAGGCCAGCCAGGGCTACACAGGGAAACCCTGTCTCAAAGCAAAGTAAAAGCTGGCGCTCAGAACTCCCTGTGGACTTGTGACTGTCCTGCTCTGGTCTCAAATCATCTGTCACTCCAAGTACCCTGTTCCCTTCTACTAGAAGCCTAGATGTGATTTGTCACTACTACAGCCAGAGGCCTGTGTTGTGCAGGTACACCCGAGGTCGTGGGTACAGGTACACCCGAGGTCGTGGGTGCAGGTACACCCGAGGTCGTGGGTGCAGGTACACCCGAGGTCGTGGGTGCAGGTACACCCGAGGTCGTGGGTGCAGGTACACCCGAGGAGTGCCTGTGTAATTGGAGGCCAGAGAACAACCGCAGCTATTGTTTCTAAGAGGCTACCCGTCTTCTCTCTTGTCTTCTCTCTTTCTTAAGATGGGGTCTCCCACTAGCTTAGAAACTGCCCCAAGAATCCGCCTATCTCTGCCTCACCAGCTCAGATTTTACACTTCTGCCGCTGTGCACAATGTTTTTGTTTATCAGTCCTGTGAAATTGCCATGGGTTGACAAAAGAAGCTGAGCTCTGAGAGTTAAGGACACCTGTGGTTCTGTAGCTCCCAGCATGCACAGTGGGCCCAGCTGAGCCCACTCTGAATGTGTGGCCAATGAGCATCAGCTCCCCAGCCTTCCCTGCCCTTTACCTTAAGCTTGCCCCTCCTGCACCCAGCTCCCTGGCTACCAATCCTGGTCAATGAGGGAGGCAGTCAAAGGGAAGATGGGAGGGCCTGGTGAGAGCGCTTGTCCCTGGAGTCCTCCGGGTTGAGCAAAGCTAGCAGAGGCTGCGCCCCTATGGAGGAAAGGCAGGATCCTGTGGGCAGCTCCCTTCTCTGGATGCTAGACTCCCCATTCCAGTGCCCTGTTGGTACACACTCTTCACTCCCTTGGACCTCAGTCAGCCCCGCTGACTCCCCTGGCTCCCGGCATGGGCTGTCCATTCAACTCATGCCCTGGCAGCTGTGTGGGAATAGAGACATGGGCTGGAGGCTCAAATTGAGAGCTTAGTGTAAGCTAAGCGAACCTTAGATCATGATTAGGGGAGGAATATGTGCTTCTACATGTTCACATGCACATGCATGTGGAGGTCAGAGTATGTGTTTGTATATGTTCACATGCAAATGAATGTAGAGGCCAGAGTATGTGTTTGTACATGTGCACATGCATATGGAGGCCAGAGTATGTTTCTCTACATGTTCACATGCACATGAATGTGGAGGCCAGAGTATACGTTTCTGCATGTTCACGTGCACATGCATGTGGAGGCCAGAGTACGTGTTTGTAAATGTTCACATGCGTCTAGTGTTTTCCTCAACTGCTCTCCCCTTATTTTCCTTTCTTTTTTAAAATGCTGTTTCCTTGGATCAGCAATATAGCTCAGCTAGTAAAGGTCCTTGCTGGCAAGCCTGACAATTGAAGCTCGATCCCCAGCACTCATTTTGGAGAGAAAGAAAATTGTCCTCTGACCTCCACATGTGCACTTCGGCACAAGCCTCCTCGCTCCCCCAAAATAAACTCTAACAGGAAATGTTTAAGTTATTATCAATATTGCGTGTATGCATGTTGTTGGGGAGCACACACACCATGGCACGCGCATGGAGGTTGGAGGACAATTCTCTTTTTACCTTAATGTGGCAGGGATGAACTCAGATTCCCGTTTGGGCATCAAACACTGTAGCTAACGAGCCTTCTAACTTGTTTTTTACTCTATGTGTATATGTATTAGCCTACATGTAAGTCTGTGTACCACATGGATGTCTAGTACCTGAGGAGGCTGAACGAGAGCATTGGATCCCTTAGAACTGGAGATACAGACAGTTGTGAGCCACCACGTGAGTGCTGGGAATTGAACTCGGGTCCTCTGGAAGAGCAGCTGGTGCTAACTGATGGGCCCTCTCTTCAGCCACACATCACCCCTCCTCCATAAACACACTTTTATTTTGGCACAGGGTCTCTTTCTGAACCGGGACCTCATTGATTGACTAGAGTGGCTGGTTCTGTTTAGGCAAGCTCCGAGATCCTCCAGTCTCCATGTTTAGCATCGGGCCTCAAAAACCCTGCACCGTTGCAGCCAGCTTTTTGTTTGTTTTTTTTAAAAAAATATTTATTTATTTATTATGTATACAATATTCTGTCTGTGTGTATGTCTGCAGGGCAGAAGAGGGCACCAGACCTCATTACAGGTGGTTGTGAGCCACCATGTGGTTGCTGGGAATTGAACTCAGGACCTTTGGAAGAGCAGGCAATGCTCTTAACCACTGAGCCATCTCTCCAGCCCTGCAGCCAGCTTCTTACATGGACTCAGAAGATCTAAGCTCGGGTGCTCCTGTTCACACCACAAGCACCATACCGCTGAGCCATCCCTGGCTCGCCGCTGAGATATTTGAAATAACTGGAGTTTTCCCTCTCTCTCTATTGTTGTCCCTAGTGGTCTTTCAGGCCCCTCCCTGACTATATACCACCTTCCACCTCTGTCTCTGTGCGTCTTGATGCCAGCCCCTTCCTCTGCTGTCTCCGGCTTCCCTAACTCTGCCATCCTCATCTGTCTGTCTGTCCTTTCTTCCCCAGGGTCTCACTGTGTGTCTTTGTTTGGTCTGAACTTCACTACATAGACCAGGCTGGCCTTGAATTCACAGATCTGCCTGCCTCTGACTCTCAAGTCCTGAGATTACAGGGCTGCATCACCATGCCCAACACACACGCCTGGCGTCTCCTCCTTGCCCACTTCTAGCGCCCACCCCCATCTGCCTCCCACTGTCTGTCGTTCTTCATCTTGACCTCTCTCTGCCTTCCTGAGCCTGCCTTGTGCTGTCTGCTTCTGTCCTGGCGCCTCTGTCTGGTCCTTGGGTTCTTTGGCCTCCGGCTTTCTTCAGGACTTTAGAAAAAGTTGCTGTGGGGGGCTGGAGAGATGGCTCAGCCGTTAAGAGCACTGACTGTTCTTCCCGAGGACCCGGGTTCAATTCCCAGCACCCACATGGCAGCTCATAACTGTCTGAAAATCCAGTTCCAGGGGATCTGATACCTTCACACCGATGCACATAAAATAAAGTTAAATAAACCATAAAAAATAAAAAAAAAAGAAAAGAAAAAAGAAAAAGTTGCTGTGTCAGGGCAGGGTCCCGAAGGAAGGCAGCTTCCCCCAGAGTTGGTTCAAGAATTAGGCTGTAACGAGGTCTTATAGAAAGGTCATTTCTGGAGCCCGGAGGAAGAGCTAGGGGAAAGGACACCGCAGAGCCTGGTAGTGCTGAGTGTCGGTACTGCAAGGGTCAAGCAGGCATCAGAGTCTTGAGTCCAGCAAAATCCTGCAAGAGTGGAGAGGAGCAGAAGCCCTGAAAGAACGGCAAACTCCAGAACATAGTCTCCCCAGAGACTCCAGGATGTTCTGCCCCCACCCTTCTAACCTCAGCTTTTCCTATTGGCCACAACCGGAAGTAAACTGAGCAAGCATAGCCTTCCTGGAGACAGTCTGAGGTGAGGATCAACATGGGGGCAGCCTGGGGAAGGGGCAGAGAGGGTCACCACTTCCCAGAGACCTAGCTGAGCAAATCCTTCTGCCATCACCCTCCAGGGCAAGCTCCCAAGTTCTCCTGGGCCAGAAAGGCAGTGTATGCTGGGGTAGGAGATCCCAGTGTAGTTCCTTACTGTCCAGGCCACCCACGTCCCTTCCCCAGCCAACTCCTGCTCTGCTAGTGTTTTACTCAGGATTAAATTTATGGCAGAAAATCCACGGCAATAGTTACTTATCAGAGATGCAAGTTTATTTCTCCCACCAACAGAAGCCTCATACATAAGCAGCTCAGGGACCTGGCAGGATGACCTGGTAAGTAGATGGCTTGCAGCACACAGCTGTGGCCTGAGTTTAATCCTAAAACCCACATAAAGATGAGATAACCGACTCCACAGAGTCCTCCGATCTCTACGTGCATCGATGCCATGACACATACATACCCACACTTACACATCATATATAGACTTTATTTTTTAAAACTCAGAGTTGGCTTGGTGGTTCACAAAGTCCTCAGAATTCCAGGCAGCTCCTTTTGAGTTGTCTTCCTTAAACCTCCTACCCCACGATCCTATGGGGATCCTCGAGCTCCAGCAACCACACCTACATCTCAGTCATCAACAAAGCATCCTCCGAGGATCCCAGCCGACGTGTGAGCATTACATAGGCCATGCTGAGCTGCAGAAGGATCTGGAAGAGGCAGTCTTTCTTCTGAGAGGGGAGCATATACAGCAGAGGGATTGCTGATTCATCATACTACTAAGGAAGACAAGAATGGATACTGGGGCTTGCTACTAGCCATTCCCACGGAGAGCAGGTGGTGCTGCAAGGTTTGGGGTGTTAGCGAAATGGAGAACTTAAGTTGCCTTCCCCCTCCGCCACATCTATCTTTCCTTCAGACATGCTACTGAAACCACCACCTAGGAGCAAGACCTGCAACTACCTTCCTGCCCTCCCTTCCTCTACTCCACAGGCGATCTATGAGCCTTCTCTTCCCTGCCCCTCTCATGACCCCACCTACTAATGACCCACCCTCTCCTGACCCCTCCTACTTCACAGGCCCATCCTCTCCTGGACTCCTCCTACTTCACAGACATGCCCACTCCTGTCTCCTCCTACTTCACAGGCCCACCCTCTCCTGACCCCTCCTACTTCACAGACATGCCCACTCCTGGCCCCTCCTACTTCACAGGCCCACCCTCTCCTGACCCCTCCTACTTCACAGGCACGCCCTCTCCTGACCCCTCCTACTTCACAGGCCCACCCTCTCCTGGCCCCTCCTACTTCACAGGCACGCCCTCTCCTGACCCCTCCTACTTCTCAGGGCCACCCTCTCCTGGCCCCTCCTACTTCACAGGGGGAGGGTTGGAGCCCTCTCTCCCTGGGTCTGCTTACCTCACCCTTTACTCTTTTATCTTCCTCTTCAGCCTCTTCAGTAGCCATAGGTAAGGAAGTCACACCCCTTCTGAGTCAAGTCAGAGATAAAGTTAAGGGGTGTGTTTCAGGGTGAAGGCTGGAGCTCTGCTGTGACTGGTGGTCAGAGAGTTTGGGGGCATGTAAGCACCCCAATTCTATCCTGTTCTCTGGGAAGAAGCTCTTTACTCAGGAGGGTTCATGTTCCTCAGGCAGGGAACACAGGCAGACATTCTCCCTTCCCTCGTTAGCCCACCGCAGCCCTTGTGACACGGGAGAGAGAGAGCAGTATTGAGGAAGAGATGGGTCACTGTGGGCTGGACCTGGGAGTGTCCAGGGAAGTGGTTACATCATTCTGAGGAAGGAAGAGAAGGGGAGAGGTCCCAAGCAGGAGGGAGATAAGGAGGAAGAGTGGGGAGGTCAGGTCTGATGGGGGTGGCTTTTGCCACCATCCTAATCTGTTCCTTCCGCCTTCTTCAAGGACAATGTGAGAAGGCAGAAGGCTGGGAGATAGGGGTGCCCCTCAGGCCACCCTGAGAGTCAACTGGGACAAGTGGTTGACTCAAACCCAGCCCTCACCCTACCTCAGCCTCTAGAGACCAGTGGTCACCAAGCATTGGGGTCAAGTCTGGTGCCTAGCTTCCCAGACTTCCTGATTGCCAGTCCCCAACCCCCACTGGGCTGACCGCCCTACTTGTCTCATTCCAAGGACACTAAGTTCAGAACACAACTCACCTCCAGAACTTGCTTCTCAATAGCTGTGAGGTCTTGGACAAATAGCTTAGTTTAGAGCCTCAGTCCCCCTCTCTCATAGACTTCGTGTATGCAGCCAGTCAGTTGTGATGGTGTACATGCCTTTAATCTCCCGCACTGGAGAGACAGAAGCAGGTGGGTGCCTGTGAGTTTCAAGCCAGCCTGGTCTACATAGTGAGTTCCAGGACAGCCAGTGCTACATAGAGAGACCCTGTCTCAAAAAGAAAGAAGGTAGAAGGAGCTGGAGAGATGACTGGAGGACGTGGGTTCGTTTTTCAGCACCCACAAGGCAATTGCTACCCCTAACTCCCGTGGTGGAATCCAGCGCCCTCTTCTTGGCGTTAGGGGACTCCTGCCACGCGGAAGGCACATAAACTCATACAGGCCCACACACATAGACACAAAAATAATAAATCCTTTTTTAAAAAATCGTAGCTGTTGGAACCAGACTAAACTTAAAAGAATCCGGCGACAAAATGCCTCAAACCTTAGCAAGTTCGCTGGAGGAAGCGGGGGCTCCAGGGGCCGGCAGGGGTCGCTGTGAGAGCGCGCCCATTTGTGCTGGAGGGGCTACAGGGACAAGGGGTGCAATCCATATCTGTGTGTGGATACCCCCAAGTCTGCAAATTTCCCACCTGATCCCGGTCCCTCAAGGGCTAGCGCCGCCCTTCTGTGCGCTGCAGGGCCCCCGCGGGCCACCCCAGGGCCGGCTGGCCTCCCGCTGCGGGGCTGGGGCCATGAATGGGCGCGTCAACTGGGGCAAATTAACACGTAGCAAAACACCCCAGCACCTGGAGAAACAGGAGCCGGGCTGGGGGAGGGGGCCCGAGCGGGCGATAATTCACCCGGGCGTCCTGCGGCCTCCAGCCGCCCCCCAGCTCGGCCCGCATCCTCCGGTTTCAAAGGCGGACAAATGGCGCACTGTGCGGCTGTGAGGCTCCCTCGCTAAATCTTTCTGTCTTCGACTCGCTGTAACCTGAGCCTCTCGCGCTGACCCTCCTCTGGAGGCCTAGGGAGGGCGTGAGGGATGCTGGAGGAGGGGGAGGCCCAAGAAAGTCTGAGCCCTCTTGCTTCTCTTTAGCACGGGTCAACTCTGGCCCACCTCGGTGGCTGCCCTAGTCCCTCAACCGTTGGGCGTCTCCCCCACCCCAGGATGCTAAAGTAGCGGAATGTGTGCATGCTTCTTTAAAGGGAGCTCCTGCTTCTAGGTGCTTCGGGGTAGAACCGGGCGGGTGTGCAAATGTGTGTGAGGCAGACTGGCTGCGGGGAGGTCGCATGTGGAAAAGTCATTTTTCCCCCGAGCGGAGTTGAAGAGCAGAGTCGTCGCCTGGCCTCCTAGTCACCGCACTACCTTGGGTCCAGACAGAGCCACCTGCAGACCATCCTAACACTCTACTAGTAATGGACCCAGAGGCCAGGGAAGGGTCGTATCTCCCCGGACCAGTTCCATGTGGGAACCTCATAGAGCCCCTGGAACGATGTTCAGGAACCTGCCTGGCCCTGGCCTGCGGGCGGTCAGGCCAGGGTAGAAGTGGGATTCCAAAAGCCCTAGTTCAGGATTCTGGAAGCCTGGGACATTGAATTAAAAGGGGACTGGCTGAATGAAGGAAGGGCAGTGGCAGGGGTGAAAGGCAGGATTAGGCCACTGTTGAACCCTCGAGAGAGTCAGTAAGGCTAAGGGTCAAGCCGCAGCGCTGAGGGCTGGGGTCAGGAGAGTGGCAGGTGAGGGAGGAATGCCCACACAGATGGAGGAGTGAACTGTCTGGCAAGGTCTGCCGGGTAAGCAGACGTCATTAATTCTATGAGCAACCTGGTGTGGTGGAGCAACAGCTTAAATCTCGGCATTCTGGACAAAGAGGCAGAGGGATTGCCTCAAGTCCGAGGCCAGTCTGAATTGCACAGCAAGAAGCTCCTGACATCAACAGAAGGTTGGGGATAGGACAGATGGCTTTCTTAGCAGGCTGTACCTGTGTCCTGTAGTCCCAGAATCTGGGAGATGGAAGCAGGGGGGATCAGAAGTCAAGGGTAACTTCTGCTACACACAGTTTGAAGCCAGACTGGGATATCTAAGACTGTCTTAGAAAGAAAGGGAGTTGGGGACATAGTTCAGTAGTGAGGTTCTTGCCTCTGTGGGTGAGGCCTGGTACCTGATGTTACCAAAAGAGTAAGTCATTCAAGACTCCACATGCACCCCTGCTGTCCCTTGGTTGGAACCCCTCCGAGCTCACAGTGGTTGCAGGGAGACACTGGTCAAGGCTGTGGAGACAATGCTAGGAAAGGGTAGGAAGTGACAGAGTGATGGCCTGCTGGGATGAGCCTCAAGCCTCTGGGAGGTAGGGCACCAGCCCAGGAGATGCCTGATGAAGTGCCTGCCTGCAAGTAAACCTTGCCCAGAAAGTTCTAGAAACAATTGTGAGCGTACGGAGAAAGACAGAAGAGAAGACTCGGGAGGTGAAAGGCTGAAGTGGGGGCTAGGATTCTCCAGGGAGGCTCTGTGTCTGCTTCCCCCTCTGAGTAGAGGGACCCTTGGGTGCCCAGAGAGAGGAAAGAGGTAGGGATAGAGACATTAGAGCAGTGGTTCTCAACCTGTGGGTCACGTATCGGATGACCTGCATACCAGATATTTACATTATGATTCATAACTAGCAAAATTACAGTTATGAAGCAGCAACAAAAATAATTTCATGGCTAGGGGTCACCATGACATGAGGGACTGTATCAAAGGGTCATAGCATCAGGAAGGCTAAGAATCACTGCCTTGGAGACAGGTGGAGCGGGTCTCCATGGAGAATTTCAGGCCAAGGCCTCTGGGTAGCTGCCTTCCCGTCTCTCCCCCCTCCTCTCCCCCCTCCATGGCAGGAGACGCCACTTCACTGGAACCAGGCCTGAAGAATTTTGTCACCCATCCGCCCACCCCCACTTGTTTGCTAATAAAAAGACTGGGGGGCCCTGTCTGCTCCCCTCCCGTTCTCCCCCTGCCGATCCCCTCTCCCTTTCTCTCCCCAGAGCTGATGCAGTTAATTGGAACGTCTTGAAAGTGCACATTAACACAGAGAGAACCGCGGAGACGTCTTGGCAGCAGAATATCGTTATCACTTCTTGAGCTCCAGCCAAAATCCCCTCGCGGTCAAAACACAATTCTTTAAACTAAACAATTAAAGATTTGTGGGAGTATGGCTGCCATGAGGTATCAGCCTGGGAACCTCTGCTGGTGTCAGTGACAACCTGGTCTGGGGGCCCAGCCGGTGATGGGCAGGGAGGAGCGTGATAGGAGCTGGGCCGCCAGAGCAACCTGCTCTCTCTCCCCAAATCAGGGCAAAGTGGGTTTGAGACCCCAAAGGAAAGAATGGCAAGACTATGCAGGCTTATTGCACCCATCAGGAGTTGGGGGTCCAAACCTACCTTTAAGCCACCTAGCCTTCACCAGGGTAAAGTCCCAGCCTCTATACATGTGGCCAATCCCTTCAGTCTACATAGTTCATCAAATGAAATGAGAGACTGGAGAATGTCAGAGGTTAAGAACACATCCTGAGCCGGGCAGTGGTGGCGCACGCCTTTAATCCCAGCATTTAGGAGGCAGACACAGGCAGATCTCTGTGAGTTCGAGGCCAGTCTGGTCTACAAGGGCTAGGTCCAGGACAGGCTTCAGAGCAACACAGAGAAACCCTGTCTCAAAAAAGCAAAAAGAAAAGAAAAAAAGAAGAAGAAAAAAAGAAAAGGAAAAAGAAAAAAAAAAGAAACACATGTTGAAGCCAAATAAATAAATAAATGATGAAGCCGGCTATTCTAGAGGATTAGGGTTCCATTCCCAGCTCCCTACATGGTGGCTCACAGCCCTCTGTCAAGTTCAGTCCCAGAGGGTTACACACCCTGTTCTGGCTTCCGCTGGCACCAGGCACCACTGGAACATGAGGTACACAGGCACATACAAACAAAACAGCCATATACTCATAAAATAAATGCATGCACACATACAGATACTTGCCACACCCCAGAGCAAGGGACTCTGAGGAGGCCAGGGAAGGGTTCCCTGCCTCCAGCTGTTTTGAAGAGCTGCTCCTCCAGCTGCTGAGGAAGCTGGAGTTTGCAGAAGCCAAACTGGAGCCAGACAGCCTGGATTCAATCCCAGTTCCCACTGTCTGGCTGAGTGACTTTGAACCAGATGCTCAGCCTCTCTGTGCCACAGACTCCCCACTTGCAGACTGTGGGGAGTAACACCGCCTCTACTTCACAGCATTGATAAGAAAATTAAATACAGTATGGACACCAGATCAGGACCTGGCCATTGGAAGTCCTCAGCAATGGCAACTGTTATTGTTTTTGTGACTTTCGTAATGGGCTCAAAGGTAGCCTTATATTAACATGCCACCTCAAATGCGTGCCCTTCTGTAGGAAGGCTCTCTCCTGCTGAACCTGGGAAGGGCAGGATGAAGTAGCCCTGTGCGACTTCCAAGGGTAGGCCACAATAACCTTGCTTCTCGTCAAGTTCACTGCCAAGTACCACATGAGGTGTCCACTTGGCTAAGCCCACTCTGGTGAGGAAGCCACAGTTAGCTTCATGGAGAAGTCACAGAACTCAGAGAGGAGGTTGCCTGGCCTGGTGCCCAGCAGTTATGTCCACCCTGGCTGAGATGCTAGACATGCGGGTGAAAGAGAGAGCTGGACACC